TGAAGGAAAAAGTGTACATAACAGTTGTACACAACACATAGACAAGACGGAATGTACATCACGAATGTCCATGTAAGGGGTGTAGAGCAGAAATGAACATGGTCACAATACCAAGCTTACCAAAAAAGGACAAACAACCATGGACACATTTGAGGCAGCAGTCCTCACAGTCTACCCGGGACAACAATTGACACTGGGAGCCTTACGCAGTTTAGCTTGTGTCGGGGCCTGAACCCCACTGGGGACCAACCCCCAGATATCACAACTTCATACTGCATCATAGTGCTATAACACAGGATTGAAAAACTGCCCGGTCTTTGCATTAGCCGGGACCCTCCAAAAATTGGCAAGTGTGTGCACGGGGGTGGGTGCTGGGCGGTGTGTGGGAGAGTGCTGGCCATTGACACTGTTGTTGCTTGGGGCAGCGGAAGTAGATGGGAGGTGCAGGTAATGGCATAATGCCCGGGCTTTGCATCAGCCGGGACCCGCCCAGCTGCAGCGCCACCTTACCTCCTGACCACCGCCGATTAGTCCGGGGGCAACATGCATCCGCTTGCTTGTGAGAGGTAGCTATGCTATCAGGGTTCCCCTGCATAGGCGTAGGAGTAGCGGTAGGTTAAGTAGTGAAAGGGGAAATGGAGAGAAGAATATATAGCTTTCCCTGCCAGTACCTTTCCCCGCTTGAAAAACAATTCAACGGCCAGTTACGCAGAAGGCAAACGGGTTTGGGGTGCCATTGATAAATTTCATCTGCAGTCCGTTTTCCGTTTCAGACCTCCGAACTGCCGGCGGCCGATGTCAAAAATTTTGACGGAAGGATACCCTCCCCATTTACCACATTTGGAAAGTGGAAAGCGGCGCAGCGAGAATGGATGGCAGCTCTCAAATCAGGAAACAATCAAGCATCACAACGTCAAGAAGCAAGAAACATCCACAAATATCTCTTGACCAGCCCAGTCTGTGAGCACAACCAGCGGGTACAGGTTCGGGGAAGGTTGGAAAAACAAGCTCAGGAGTACTTGTATGGTTCAATGCACCAGGTTCAATGCACCAGTCACCATGTCCTAACCTGACAAATGCCATGACAGTTGTAGCCAAGGAGGACAAAGAAGGGTGGGTTTTTCAATGTAAGCAGGCATACACCGCTTGGGCAAGATGACGCGTACTTCTATTCTTTCCATCGCACCAGTGCTCTGCCTAATCTACATTCAGAAACTCTAGGAATCCGGCATCCATGCCTCCAAAGCACACCCGGTTTTGAAAAAATAAAATAAACACACCTGGTAAATATGGTATGCCGATTGCAGGCAAGCAGGACAAGTGGTGGGTGGGTTATGGCGGATGACTACACATGCACTACAGGGAGATCACACGTAAGTTGGTTTCTTTGGGCATACTCATACTGCTGGGACTTTTATCAGTTCCCACGGCCTCGTCAGCAGAGTTGCTCCATCCACGAAACCACAGGAAACACTTTTTTCGCAAACTCATTTCGTAATGTAATCTCACAAAGGCTCCGTTGTACACCGACTCATCAGTGCTTTGGTTCCATCGATTTCGGGTTGGGGAAACTACTTCATGAATGGACGACATTGCGATCCCATGCATCCAGGTACGGCCGTAGTCACAATCAGATGCATTCAGGAGAGTGCTACCGTGTTCCCCCGAACATGAGGCATCCTGATAATGACCATCTCCAAGCTATATTTACGGTTCGGTACAGCCAAAATAAGGGTGCGTTGTGTTCGGGGGAAGTTAGTAGTGCGAGTGCGTACGCCGTTTTGTCCCCACCCGTTCATCTGCCCTTTGTCTCCGCCCGTTCGTCTGCCCGTCTTCTCCCATACGCCATTGTCTCTGCCGGTTCATCCGCCCATCTTCACCCGAATAGAACACCCTGTCATTATCGCTGTATCTAGACGGAAAGCTGTCCTAAATACCCTGTCATTATCGCCGTATGTAGACGGAAAGCTGTCCTAAATACAGCTATAGTGACTTGGCATTCTATTCAGGTGAAGACGGGTAAAATGTCCTGTTGGAAACTGCTGTCTTCAACTGAAGAGACCCTCTTAGGGTTACCACCTCACTATATCAACAAGTAAATATGGACACAGTTTATGGTGAGGTGCCTGGACAGCTAGCACCTCACTATTTTGACAACTGAATATGGACACAGATTAGGGTAAGGTGCATGGACAGCTAGCACCTCACTATTTTGACAATTGAATATGGACACAGTTTAGGCTAAGGTGCATGGCCAGCTAGCACCTCACTATTTTGACAATTGAATATGGA